ACAGAGGCTGGGGCAAGTTTAAAGGGGTGTTCTTTCACTGGGCAATCTGAAGTGGTTTGCACAAGATGGGAGGCAGAGATGAGAGAATAGCTGGAAAGCGGAAGAGCTAGCGGGGCCAGCCAGCCTAGAGTAGGCGGGACAACAGGAGAGCAACACAAGACCCTGCGTCAATGTGGTAGAGGGCAAGAACCAACTCCCGAAAGTTGTCCTCTGACTGTGTGCTGTCATACATACGCATGGACAAACACAAAACCAAATTTAATTTTTAAATAGGTAAAATAAGTTCATCAAATCTATAATACTGATTGAAAATTATAAGGCTATACAAGGAATGTCTATAAATGACATGCATGTGCAGGCCAAATAACAACTTTGAGGAGTCTCTTCTCTCCTTCAGCTTGTATATGGGTTCAGGGGACTGAACTCGGGCTGCCAAGGACCCACTGAGCCATCTTGCTGGCCCAAAAATGTCACTGTATCTAGAAAATGTATGCTCAACTATTTAGAGGTAAAGGGGCTTTGTACCTGAAAGTGTGTGTGTGTGTGTGTGTGTGTGTGTGTGTGTGTCAAAAAATATGTGTGGGGAAAACTAAGGAGGTAAAATGGTAGTATTTTATATGTCTAAAACTATTTCGAAGTAAAAAAAATTGAAAAAATATAAAAGAACAAAAATGCCCTTTCTATTAAGCTCTCTCCCTTTTCTCACTATACATACAGCTACTCATCACACTGCAAGTCAAGCTGGGGCTATTTTTGTGCAAGTCAATGCACTCAGCACAATGCATCCCACTTTATAAGCGCTGCGTATTTTAGGAAACAACCCTAACCATTGACAATGTTACAATTTCTGTTCCTATATTATTTTCACTGGTAATATACCTTTTTAGATCTTCAACCATTTATGATCACAAACATATAATGTTGTATATTTAAAACTCAATAAAAAGAAATGAACTGCTGATACTTGCTACTAATGCCTGGTACAACATGATGAACCTGTAGGCTGAATGGGGCAGGGACATGAAGGCTGGAGAACAATGACTAGGGGTGTTCTGTGGAGAGTACACAAGCATTCTAACTTGATTCATCAATGTAGAACTATGACTACAATCAAAGCCATGGAACTGTATGCTTGAATTAATTCAGCTCAAGGCCAGCCTGAGTAAGTTCTGGGCCATCCTAGGCTTATGTAGTGAGACTTTATCCTCCCACTCCCTAACCCTCCAAAGAGAGAGAGAGGTGAGAAACAGCAGAATAGTTCAAAGTGCTTGGAAAACAAAAATGAGACGGTATAGAAGCACAGTAGTCCACTCTAAAGTAACCTAGCTGGTCTTGGTGGCACACACCCAGCACTCAGGGGACAGAGGCAAAGGACAGACATAAATTTATAAGGCCAGACTAATCTACATAGAGCACACCCAGGCCTGCCTCAAAATAAATAAATAAAGTACCTATATAAAGTATCAATCACTATGGGTCTTTCTATATGCCTTAATTTTGTTATAGGAACTTTAGCTTTGAAATTTCTGGGTCCAAGAAGAAATGAAATGTGGGTATATTTAATTGGTCATCATTCCATCTTTCTACACTATCACAGGAATAATGATAAGCCTTCGACCTACCACAAGTTGAGGATAGAACCACAGCTAGGTGAGCGGTCTCACTGAGCTACACCCTCATTCCTTCAAAGCATGCTTTACTTCAATGGCAATCAACACCAACTAGTAATATAGCAAAATATATATGTATATATTAAATATACATTATATATATGTGTGTATCTGTGTACGCGCACACGCACACACATATATATACATATATACACACACACATATATATACATATATGTATATATATATCTGCTAAGCAGGTTACTTTATAGCCCACTTTCCTGTCTCTGCTCTGAAACAGCTGAGATCCACAGGCTAAACTTCTATATTTAAAAAAAAAAAAAAAAAAAAAAAAACTTCATGACCTGAATATTGGCACCACACCTCATAAATACAGCACCTTCTGCTGCTAAACCTTTCCACATTCAAAAGCCCTACGTGTTCTTGACAGAAACCACGCTCAGGCAGCTGAATTTAGAACATGCTGACCTTGAGCAAATCAATGCCCTTAGCATGTACTTCTGGCTTCCATCACTACAGGAGCTAGACAGCCTCACCATCTATAGTAGTCAACAGCCTCTGGCCACTACGCCTGTCTATTTTAAGATATCCTCACTACGTTTGTGTTCCACAGTTCAAACGGGTAACACATGAATCTGTGTCTAAATGCAGTCCTTTACCTTAGAAACTAAGACATACCTACAGTGTCCCTACCTTAAAATACTTATTATACTTTCATTTATTAATCACACAGTATTTAAGTAATCCTGTCATAAGCTAAGACAGAAACAGTAGAGTTCCAAAACGATGTGCAAATTTTGAAATAAAGTAATAGCTTGCTGCCTTTTTCATGCAAAACTTTATCAGACATTAGGACAGTACCTAATTAAGAACTACACTGCATTTTTGCTAATCTATCTTAATATTTCCTAACTATTCTACCTCTTAAATCTAACTGCCATCAAGTCCATTTTCTGTTTTTTACCAAGTCAGAATCATCTAAAACATAAGCATAAACTTTTATTTATTGAATACAAATTTTCTATATTTCTAGACTCTAAACACAGAACCTGTGACTAATCTTAGTTTATACAGCTTCTGAAAGCCAGGTAAATATTAACCTGAAATTTATAAGTAAACAGAACAGAAATTATATTTAGCAATTATTCATAATTTTCTTCCATTCTCAATATTATGCAAAGACCTAATGCTAGAAGATGGGATCATAACGTATCTAAAATTTTAGATTGCGTTTCAAAGGATTCTCTTTACTCTTTTGAAACATTTAATAAACCAACAGAAATTTTCAAGTATAAAATATAGGTTAATGTTTCTGTTGTTTATTCTCATTCCAAACATTTCAGTCATGAAAAGGAGGCCAGACATCACACAGGACAGAATCTGAAATGGAAATAATGCAGGACCCAAATATAATGAAGTCATTTACTAACAAGTGAACTGAATATGGGGCCCAGGCAGCTGGAGCTGGAGTTTATACAATATGCTAGCTGGCCAGTAAGAGCTCTGAACCCACAGTCTATGATGCTCAAAAGACCTGAGTAGGGAGAAGCACTATTCTTTTCATGCAATTAAGATTTCAAAATCATTTTTCCAGGGGGAAAAATTAGCTAACATTGAATCTTACATTTCAATAAGTCAGAAAAAGAAAGAAAAGAGTGGTTAGGAGGACAGAGGATCAAGTAAATCTAATTATGTGAAAATAAGTAAGATCTGCTACCCTGCTGCAACAGCAAATTACCCTTTGGATATTGAAAAAGTTTTTTGGTTTTTTTTGTTTTTTGTTTTTTTTTTTGTGTGTGTGTGTGTGTGTGTGTGTGTGTGTGTGTGTGTGTGTGTGTGTGTTCTGAGACAGGGTCTCACTGTAGCCCAGGCTGGCCTCTAATTCAGAGAGACCCTCCTGCCTCTGCCTTCACAGTATTGGATTAAAAACATGTACCTCCAAATCCCACATCTAAACAGTTGAGAATGGTATCCAGAACCCTAATACTAGAAATAATGCAATCTAAAATATACTAAGGATAAATCAGACTACATAATAATAAATTCCTAATACTTATATCATACTACTAATTCCTAATACTTATATCAATACATTTAATTATAACTAAATTACATAAGCATGGCATTCCTTCTGAAAACTTACTAATAACAAAGCATACAGAGCTGGTGTTTGTTGATGACTGGCTTACTTCTTATTTGTGCAAGGTATTACAGCATATGTTTACAATGGCAGATGCAACACCAAAAACAACTACTTGCTTATTTGGTCAAAGTTCCTAACCCTCATGACGTAGCAAGCTCTGGCCATAAACTGCATTTCATCTACTCAGTGCTTATGAAAGAGCACTCCTCTGCCAGCACTGCTCCTGTACTCGCCCCACTGTGTTAGCAATCATGACTACAGAGGCCACCAAGAATGTCTCAGCACTCATGCTGAAATGTAAATAACCCAGTCTCCAATTTATGAGCCAGGAACTCAAACTATGAGTTCAAAGACATCTTCCTACTCACACAGGAACTTCTGCTATTTTGAACCATCAGCTAGTCTCTGAGACTACAATACTTCAGGTTGGCATTACACTAATCTTGACATTGTAGATCTCTGTCAATAGCTGCATGGAGACTATGTTTGTCTTCAATTTCTTCACACACTCACAGCACCAACACGAAGATAGTATTATTCATAGCATATACATAGAAAACTTCATGGCAGCTATATAAATACATGTGAATCTTAAAGTCATTCATCAGAATAATGGCCTGAACTCATAATTTCTCTAAATGTTGCTATATGAGATTATGTCTTTATTAAATTACTTCTCCAGGACTAGTGAGATGGCTCAGTAGGTAAAGGCATTTGCCACCAAGCCCTATGACCTGGGCTCAATCTCAGGGACCCACATAGTAGAGAGAAGAGATCAGAGTCCCACAAGTTATCCTGACTTGTACATGTGCACCATGGCATGTATACACACTTAAATAAAAATGTGAAAAATAAAACCTTAAAAATTAGAAATTACCTTTCCCAAGCACTGAAATGCTTCAAGAAACATACAAAAGCTACAGTCAACAGCGTTTTCGACATTTAAAGACTTACACTTATCATCTTGTTTGTGTGACGGTCTTTCCTATCTTCTGTTAATAATAAAGATAACCAGATGTCTTTAGCATGGAACTAGTGAGGATTTCTACTGTCCTTGAAGCAATTTTATGCCTTGATTTTGCACGTCTTTTTAAAACTTCAAACCTAAATAGATCCTATTGATTTCCTTATTTAGCCGAAGCAGTCTCTCATCACACTTACATATCAAATTTCACTTAGCAGAAACTCGGCATTTGTTAAATAGCCAAAAAGCAGTTGCTGCCTACCTGTAGTACCGAGATTGTAGATACGTTGAACAAACAGTCTTTGACACATGACTGGCCGACCCAAAGTCTATCACTTTAACCCTGTATGGCTGTCGAACAGGATCCACCAACATAATATTCTCTGGTTTGAGGTCAGCATGAATTAAACCAAGACTTTTTAACTTCTTCAGTGCAGTGGCCACTTGCTGAAGAATGGGCCGGATCACCTTCAGGGGCAGGGGACTGAATTTATTCTGCTTCAGAAAGTCATACAGGTTCTGCTCCAGCATCTCAAAGACCAGGCAGGTATGGTTGCGGTGCTGGAAGCACTCATAGGCCCGCACAAAGTTGTACTCATCAGCGTTCTCAGTACTGAGCCTTGCTAAGATGCTCACTTCTATCTGCCCTTGGCGTGCGTAAGAAGGGTGATTCTTCAAAATTTTGATTGCTACAATTTCATTTGTCCCTCTCTTCCAGCATTTAACAACTTGGCCAAAGGTGCCACGACCAAGAAAATCAAGGACTTCATATGTGTTTTTCATAGAGCATAAGACTTCATGCTGCACTAACTGATAATCGCCTTCTCCGCTGGTACAGTTCTGTTTTGATGCTGTGGTCGTTGTCACAACTGTCACTGGATTTCCCATGTTGGTCTGCAACATTGCAGGAAGTAGGGACAGTTCATCGACAATCTGCATCGCGCCGCTGTGATTATCCAACTCCTCACTCTTGCGCTTCAATCCACATCGCTGGGGACCTTCTAGGAAATGTAACCGGTTTCGCCACAGCACGGTGCGAGGCGCCTCCACTGCAGCTTGCTGTGCTGGAGCTGCTATGACCTTTGCAGCACCAGCAGTGTCTCTGACAACAACGGCACCTGCCTGCAATGAAAAGCTGTGTCCTCGAGGTCTAGTGAACGGTGTCTTTGTCTGGAAAGCACCACCCTTCGCGGAAGAGTGAGAGTTTCCAAAGTCTCTACCGTTCACGTAGGTCTGTGGACGGTGTCTCTCCTGGAAAACACAACTGCTTGGCTCTACTTTGAGTTTCTTCACACTACAAAAGGCACTTGACTGAGTTTGATAAACGTATGGTGGGTAGACCAAGACTTGTGAGGCCATACCTGCAGAAGAAGGAAGGAAATGTTAATCAAAAGAACAGGTTTTCCTCAACTCTAAACTGTAGGGAAAAACTCTTAGGGTCAAATTCATAATATGCTAAAATAATAGTAATTTAAAATTCCATTAAGATTTTTCCCTTGGGAGGAGATAAGAAAGATCTTCATTATCTCCACATTAGTTCTCAGGATTTCAGTTATTGGGGGAAATACTTACTGAACGGCTACACTGACCGGGATATGCAATAGAAACCGTACCAACCGTTTTCCCTATGGAAGGCAAAGTACAACTCCCTGAACAAGCGGCGCAGGTGTGGCAAAAATAAAACATTCTCTCACCAAAATATAACTTATGAACCATCAGCTAGAGAGGCAGTTCAGGGTTAGGAGCATTTGCTGCAAAGAATGAGGACCAGAGTTCAGAGTGCGAACCCACTGAAAAGTTGGGTGTGGTCCCATGCATGGCTAAACTCCAGTACTGAGAACAGAGACAGGGGATGCTGGGGCTTGCTGGCTTCCAGCCTTGCTGAAAAAATGGGAACTCCAGGTTTAGCCTCAAAGGAACAAGGTAGAGGGTGACAGAAGATACCTGACATATGCCTCTGGACTCTACGTACTCACTCTTACACATGCCTACACCTCACACACACAAAATTATGAATCAGTCAACACAGTTTATAATCAGGAAAAAACAACTATGTATGTTTTAAGTATATACATACATACACGGATTAATTTAAAAGGGCTATCCTTTTCATGAACAGCTCTGATCCTATATTCTACTTGCCAAATATAATCTCCTTTGATCTTAAAGAGCATTCATTATACTACAAAGACAACTTAATAGCTTTCTATCCAGTTACCTTCACATTGCCTAAGTTCCCAGACACTAAGTGACTTTCTATGGATTTTGGTCTTACTCCATCTACACAGCCATCAAGTGTACAATGAGTCTGTAAATAGTACCTGACTCTGGTGTAACACAGATACAAAGGGGTTTTAACATGTTGCTGGCACAGCTGACTTTCTCCCTTATGACCTTATTTCATGATCTTAGAATTCATGTAATATACAATCCAGCAACTGCTAATTCATATACACAAACATAAAACAGACACAGACAGACAGACAGACAGACACACACACACACACACACACACACACACACATACACACACACCATGCACACACAAATTAACAAAAATCAAAAAAGAAAGAAAACCAAAGCTCAGAGGGACCAAGTAATTGACCCAAGGTCTCAAAACTATGATGTAAAGAAAAAAAGTAAATACACCACACCTGAGGTAAAACTTCCAAAAGTTTCTTGTGTTCCACCTACCAGATTCCTAAATTGCTCTACTATAAAGTCAGAGACAAAGTTCACAGTCAGATCGAGACTTGATATTCAGTAAGGAGAGAATACTACAATTTGAAACTCTGGGATTTAAGCCTAAGGAAGTTCATCTGCTTCCTTAAAATGTTCCCAGCATCTATCCTATACCTCTACCCAGAGGCATGCCAAAACTGCACTAATTCACCACATTTTAAGGCAGAGTCTCACTATATCACTGTGACAGGCACGGAATCCCCTATTTAGATCAGGCTGGCAACAAACTCCGAGAGATCCATCTGTTTCTGACTCCCTAGTGCTGGGATCAAATGCCTAGCTAAATTAATGAAACAAAACCACACTGAGAACTCTTTCTAGACATATCAAACTCATATATTATGCATTTTTGTAAGGCTGCCCAATCATAGCCTCAATAATTCTCCTATGATACACCTAATTTTCAAAATACTTATGTAATCCATACCTAGAGATCCAAAATGACAAATACGAAAACCACTTATCAATACCAATTGCTGTATACCCAAACTAAACATCCTGGTGTCCAAGACACTGTTTTTGCACAACACTATGCCTTTATTGTTTTTCATTGTAATGTGAACTATGTTGCGCTCTTCAGCTGTATTACTCATGTCTTTGCCTCTTGTTCTTATCAGCAGACTAAGGAATAAGGTTTTGAAATGCTACCTCTTTGATGGTGGGGGCTGCCTAAAACTATTACTTAGGAGTAGAGCAAAGTCTCCTAATGGAGCAACCACTAAGCTTTTACTTCTCAGGCTTACTCACTTCAGATTCTTTTTGTTTGTAGCTGAGGCTAGCCTAAAACCCACAGCAATCCTCCTGCCTTAGCCCCAAGTGAAGAACTCCAGGTGTGCACAATCACACCCAGAGCTCTCATTTCAGGTACTTTGTTCTGAATGTTTATGGTCTCTCAAAATTTGTATATTGAAACCCTCCCTACCCACCAAATGTAATCCTAGAAACTGGGAGGCTGAGGCAGAGAGATTGGCATGAGTTCAAGGCCAGCCTGGACTACAGAGTGAGACCATTATATCAAAAATACAAAGGGGGCTTTGGGAGCTTATTAGGCCATGAGGGCTCCCTTTCATAAATGGAGCCTCAAGGAGCTTCTTTGCCCCCTAGCATGTAAGACCACAGCTAGATGCTATCTTTGGAGCAGAGAGCAAGCCTTCAACAAACCCTGCATCTGCTTTTACCTTTATCCTGGGACTCTCCGGCCTACAGAGCAATGAGCAATAAATCTATGCTCCTTACAGAATTTTGTGATAGCAGACTAAATGGACAAAGACATGGGTTTTACTCTTCTAATCCTACAGTGAACTTGAAATCCTAACTGAACTCTACCTTCTATGACAATCAACCAGCAATATAAGCAACAAGAACATCCACAGACCCAGATCTGACCATTGTAAACTACTAGTGAGACATGTTCTGGTTTCTTCTTATGCATAATACTGGGTCTGCTGAAAAAGGAGAGCAGGAACCAAGCACTTTGCTAACATATTCCATTTCTTAGCTAATATGAAATTTCTGAAATATTTTCTGCCAAACTTAGCTATGCTTTATGTTTAACAGAGTTAATTAAAGAAAATAAATGTAAGAGTCAATAGTTTGTTAACGTCTCCTCATTCAATTTCCTTCCACTTGTCCAAACCTTCATTTTTGAAACATTTTCCTTCTTGAAAACCAGTTTTATACATATATATATACATATATATGTGTGTGTGTGTGTGTGTGTGTGTGTGTATATATATATAAAGCTTACTATTTTAATCACTTTTAAGTTTACTATTCAGTGGCATTAAATACATCCCCAGTGCTGTATATTACACCTCCCTCCTAACACTAGCCCTCTTTTGCAATTGAAACTGCGACCATGTCATGACTCTAGCAACCATCATTTACTTTCTGGTCGATGAATTTGACTTCAAAATATACCTCATAAGTGGACTCATATTTGCCTTTTTATGACTCAGAATAATGTCAAGGTTCATCCATGTTGTAACATGCAACTAGATTTTCTTCCTTTGTAAGATCACATGGTATTCCACACATATATGTATGACATTTTATTCATCCACCCACAGATGGACACTAGAGTTGCTTCTACTTTTTAGTATTACTTTGTTGTTGTTTTCTATGTATACCAAGCTGGCCTTGAACTGACAGGGAGCTGCCTACCCCTGCCCCTCCATGGTGCTGGGATTAAAGACTTGCATCTTTAATCTTAATAGCCTATTAACTTCACTCAGGAGGCAGAGGCAGAAATATCCCTTGTGAGTTCAAGGCCAGCCTGGTCTACAGAGTGAGTTCCGGGACAGCCAGGGCTTTACAGAGAAACCCTCTCTCAGAAAACAAAAACAGAATCCGCAAAAAGGTAGAAAGAAAATTGACTCCATAAAGTTGTCCTCTGCCCTCCATGCTCAGGCACCATGGCATGCATATGCCCACACATCACACACACCTACATGCACACGCACATACATACACACATACATACATACATACATACATACATACACACACACACACACACAAATAATAAAAATCTTGGAAAAAAAATGTAAGGTGACCAGTATCTAAGGGATGGTACCTTAGGTCATCATCTGACCTCCATATGCTTACCACACCCATCCACAAGTCCACCCACACATGAACACATACAAGCAGGCAAGCACATACACACAAAGGCCATGGGGATAAACCTAAGTGACGGAGAACTTACCTATCATATGGAGGCCTTAGGTTAAATCTCTAGTACCACAAAAAGAAAAAAATAAATACAACCACACAGACATACACACAAAAAACAGCACATTTAAAAAAAAAAATTAAGCCCGGTGGTGGTAGTGGTGGTGGTGGTGGTGGTGGTGGTGGTGGTGGTGGTGGTGGTGGTGCACGCCTTTATAATCCCAGCACTTGGGAGGCAGAGGCAGGTGAATCTCTGTGAGGTCGAGACCAGCCTGAGCTACTACAGAATGAGTTCCAAGAAAGGCGCAAAGCTACATAGAGAAATCCTGTCCAAAAAACCAAAAAAAAAAAATTAAAGCTAGGCATGGTTACATAAACCTTTAATCCCAGCACTCAGAAGGCACTGAGTCTAAAGCCAGACTGATCTACATAAAAACAGATTTAAAAATATTTAGTTAGGTGTCATGTGCATGCCTATCAATCCAATACGTAGGGGGATAAACGAGGAGCAACTGCCATGAGTTCAGGGCCAGCCTAGGATACATAAGAAGACATTTTTAACCTAAGAAATAACTCAGGGCACTAGCATATTATCCCATAAAAAAACAAGGCTCAAAACATAAAAAAATTAAATATGAAGCCCATACTTCATAACTATTTTTTTAAAGCTAGTAATGTAACACCATTGTCTTGAAGGAAGTTTTCTCAGGGATATTTTTTGTTCCATTGGAAACAAGCTCACAAATCAACTCTTTCAAATACATTAAAATAAGTAGATGTGGGTCCATTGATATTTTCAAAAATGAATTTATTGTCTCTAAAGGAAAAGAGGATGTAACAGGAAATTAAACAATCCATTAAAGTTGCCTAATGTGGTAAATGTTCCAATAACCTTTAACCTGATGCCTTCCAGGTAAATGGATCATCTTAGGTGAGAACAGCCTGG